TATAAAAGCTATAAAAATATAAAAATAACAATGACAATAAATTCAAACTTAAAAAATATATATTATGTATATAATATACAGTTCATATGTGTGTATGTTCATTTATTATTTTTAGTATGTATTAATAATTAAGATTTATTAAGATTTATTTTTAGCATTTATTGTTTTATTATCTAATACTAATGACTTGTTTCACATAAGACGAGGATCTGGTGAACGAGGTTCTGGAGGACATTCCCCGACACGAGGAGGATTATCTGGATCTGACGCTGGACGAGGAGCAGGAGCTGATGCTGCAGATCAGATCCAGTCTGGAGAAACAGAGCTCCTCCTCCGGATAAACCCAGTCTCCTCCAGAGAGTCCTTCAGCGCTCATTAACCCGATCAGAACCTGTGCCTTTTATTGGTTTCAGATAACACGCCATCAAAACAGAACCTTGGGTTTATACAATGCTAATAATAATAGCCGTTAATAATTAGTCATATTTTGAAGCTTGATTGATGGTGTATGTCAAAGAACGGTTGATTTATCTTTATTTAGAGATTCGCTGAAGGGAACGTGTTTGTTTGGTTTGATGGTGATTCTACTCTAATGATTCATGATTCGGTTCAGTTCTTTCAGTTCGATTCTGATTCTTTAGTTCCAGGTTTATAATGTTTGTTGAAAATGCAATAAAGACTCACTCGTTGTGAATGTTGACAGTGTCCACATTTTTTATTCTCACTGCACTTAAAAAAATAATAAAAATCAAGTTGTGAATAAGAAAAAAGATTATTGGAATATGTTTCTTAGAATTTAATTGTGAAATTTACAAGTAATGTGAAAATGGTGTCTAAGTAAATCTACTCATTTTTTTTTTTTTGTAGTTTTCAAATCTCTCTCTCTCTATATATATATATATTAAAAAAAATAATTGTGGTTTTATTTTATTTGTCATTTAAAATGAATTAGTGAAGGTAAAAGAGTGATTCAAAATTGAATTTTTATATATTTCTAAAAAATGTGTCTCCTGCTCAACAAGGCTGCATTTACTGATCAAAAATACAGTAAAAATTGTGAAATATTATAATTTAAAACAGCTGTTTTCTATGTGAATCTCTGTTAAACTGTAATGTATTTCTGTGATGCGCAGCTGTATTTTCAGCATCATTACTCCAGTCTTCAGTGTCACATGATCTTCAGAAATCATTCTAATATGCTGATTTGTTGCTCAAGAAACATTTCTGATTATTATCAATGTTGAAAACAGCCGTGCTGCACAATATTTTTGTGGAAACTGTGATGCATTTGATTTTTCAGGATTCACAGATGAACAGAAAGTTCAGAAGAACAGCATTTATTTGAAATAGCATTTGTAACATTATAAATGTCTTTACTGTCACTTTTGATCAATTCAATGCATCCTTTATGAATAAAAGTATTGATTGATTGATTTAAAAAAAAAAAAAAGACTGAACCCAAGCGTTTGAAGAGTAGTGTGCTTATAAATGTGAACCTGATGTTGACGGATGAATCCAGAGACAGACACAGAGACTCTTGTGTGATAAAATACCATCTTGACTGTGGTTTAGAGTTTATTTTACATGTTGAGAGAGAAACAGGGTCCCGGTGAAGATGCTGGAGGGTTTAGAAGTAGTTGACGATCCTCCGGATGGACTGGATGTTGGGGTTCTGCGCCTGCCACTCGTTATGACTGCAGTAATTACCTCGCTCCACGATGTACATGCGGCCGCGGAAGTTCGGCTCTTCATACATCACCCACCTGAAGATTAGACCACATACCACAGATAGAAATGTTTATATGTGACCCTGGAGCACAAAACCAGTCATAAGGGTCCATTTTTTTTGAGTGAGCATAATCTGAAAGCTGAATAAATAAGCTTTCCATTGATGTATGGTTTGTTAGGATAGGACAATATTTGGCTGAGATACAACTATTTGAAAATCTGGAATCTGAGGGTGCAAAAAAATCTAAATATTGAGAAAATCATCTTTAAAGTTGTTCAAATTAAGTTCTTAGCAATGCATATTACTAATCAAAAATTAAGTTTTGATATATTTACGGTAGTCTATCCATACAATCCATACAATGTATTGTTGGCTATTGCTACAAATATACCCCAGCGACTTAAGACTGCTTTTGGACACACATTTGGACACATATTAGATGGAGAAAAAAAATCAGAAATATCAAAAGGAACTAAAAATATGGGGGGGAAAAGCACATTAACTAATATATATATACATAAGCTGAAACAAAATAAAATAAAATAAAATGATAAAATGTGAATATTAATGAAAACTTGAACTTCAAAAAAAATTGAAGCACTAAAATTACTAAAAATCTAAAATAAAGCTAAATGGAAATACATAAAAAATAAAAAGACAAAAGCATATAAAATTAAAACTAAAACTAAAAAAATAGAAATACAGCTGAAATAAAATATGAATATTAGATGAAAAACTAACTTCAAAACTTTGACAACTAACTGAAATAAAAATGCAAGTTCTAAAATAATAATAAAAACTAAATAGAAATAATACAACAGACTAATACAGATGACAACGACAAAATAAACTAAAACAAAGACAAATGTTGGTAATTTAATGAAATAAAGTAAATAAATATAGTAAAGAATGAATATTAGATGAAAAAAATTAAACTTCAAACATTTTAAATGAAATACGTTTGCAAAATAAGTGCTACATTTAAAAAAACAAATGATAAAAACAGACAATATTATTAAAACGAAAGCTAAAAAAAAATGAAGCTAAATTCAAATACTATGATAGTAAACAAATAACAATGGTGTTCATCACTAACTCTTTTTTTCTAGAAGAAATGCTGCACTTTAAAGTATTTTAAACTTACAGCCACATTTGTACTTTTATAAGCTCATCTGTCACTAAAGCCATCACAAATGTTGAAAAACTGGAGCACTTGCAGCATCTGTGATCTCTGAACAGAATGAGTGTAGAGTATGAATATAACTGATGAGAGTGAACTCACGCTCCGTCTCCGAACACTCGCACAGAGTTGATGCAGTTAGTGTTGAACCCGCGGCTCTGAAGGAAGGGACAGTCGTCACACAGATCCATGCACTGCCCCGTGTAGTTACAGCCCTCGAACAGCTGCATGTGGTACTGCTCGCCGTGCTGGACATAGAGCAACACACCACAAAATCATGACATGTGTGTTAATGCACAGCCTTCGAGATGCATCTCGTGTCATCCTGTTGTGTTTAGTGCATTGAAGCCCTTGATAGTGTGCTCGAGTCAAGTCGAGGTTTGTGGACATACAGTGGAACGAAATGTCGTGCTACATAGTTAAACATACATATAAACATACAACACTAGATATAAGAAACTATTTTTTAAACCTATACATAGCTAACTTACTGAAAGCGGTAATCTACTCTCCAAGCCAGGATTATTATTGTTAACTACAACTATAACCATAAGAAACATTTTCATTACTTAAAATAAAATAAACATTAACTGAAATAAAATATATTTTAAAAACTAATTTAAAAATATTTTAGAAAAATTTAAAATAAAACTAAATAAAATAAAACAAATAAATAAAATAAAACTATAAAAATAATGAATAATATATATAAATAAAAGACTAATAAAAATTACAAAATTAATAATTATTTTTAAAAAATTACTAAAACTTTAACTAAAATCTAATTAAAAAAATGATTTGTCAAACTGTAAATGTAATGTAAAAACAATGACAGTATTATTTTTAACTGAAACAATAAATTAAAATTAATAATAAAAAAAAAAAATCATAAAATAAAAAAAAATTCAGCTAGTTGCCAAGGCAACATTTCATAGTTTAAATTTAAGCATTACAATAAACTAACACGAAATATAAAAATAAATAAATAAAATGAATAAACTAAATCTAATAAATAAAAATTATGCAGAAATAAAAACAACAAAAACTAATAAAAATGGCATAAAAAAACAAAAACTAAGGTTAAAATGAAAACAAAAAAATATATGTAAAAATAAAATATTAACAAAAAATATAATAGAATCTCAGTGACACTGAAATAACACAGCAAGCATGAAGGGGCCTATAAGAGGTCAAAGATCAGCCTAATTATACGCCTGAAATGCTCCAGGGCCAAGGGCCAAGGGTTTGATGAAGCTGACCGAAGGTGGTTTCTGACCCAAACTCTGCTGAAGTCCTGACCGATCGCACTCTTACCTTTCCAGAATACTGCGACATCTCCACTGGATTATGTCCAAACTCAGCCACACGCACCAACGTGTGAGAGCGAAAGTTGGACGGGTCAATATATACGGGCCACAAGATCTCGCGAGAGCCGCTGCACAAAGATCTCACAATGAAGAGCTTTAGGCTTCTGCTGACGCCACGCTTTCCTCGTCCTGCTGATTCTGGGCTTTGAGCGCAATAGATTCTGCTTTGCTCGACTCTGTGGGCCGTTTTGCCGATGTGAGGCTCGTGTCTCATTCTCATCAGATCATTCTTCTGCTTTCATATCTGAAGTTCCTGAGGATTCTTCATGTTTTACACTTTATCTGGAACACGAACAAGCATCACTCACTTGATCAAAGCAGATCTGAATCGAATCTGACAGCTGTTCAGAACACAGATGCATCACCGTTACTGATTTAATATACTAGTGAACTAAATATATTTTCTATTAATATTTTGAATTGATTTGATTTTTGTATATTTTTATTTGTATTTTAATTTTGTTTGAATAATTTTTTCTGTAATTTTTTTTAATATATATTTCTATATAGTTTATATATAAATATATATATATATTCTATTTGTATTTTAATTTTAAAGTTTTAGTAAATTAGTTGTTTTTTGTCATTTTGATTAGTTTTTTTAGTTGTTAAAAATACATATTTAGTTTTTATATTATATTTTTTATTAGTTTTATTCCAGTTGTAGTTTTAGTTAAGGAAATCACCTTAAACTAAATGAAAATGAGAAACACTGTCGCTGAAATAAAATGATTTAATTTTAATTTTTTATTTAATTGTAATCAAGTACGTTTTGTTTGCTTTAATGTTTCAATTTAGTTTTTATTTTTATTTAATTTGAGTAATTTAGTTGTGTTTTTGTCATTTCTATTAGTTTTTAATTTTTTATGTGTATGTTTGTGCGTCTATATAGTTTTTATTCATTTTATTTCAATTAGATATTCAAGGAAAGCAACAAAAATGAGAAATGTTGTAGCTGAAATGAGCATTTTTTTAAAAACATTTTATTTCAAGCATTTTTTTTCTTAATTTAACAATAATAACCCTGAACTCAATCACACACACAGACTATAAAGAGCTTTTATGAAGTATAAACGGCTTGTTCTTTCAGTAAACAATAGAGAAAGCATCTGTGATTGTACTATCGCTTTACGTCACACATGCAAGAGTCGTGAACACATTTTTAACGAATCACTTCAGATTCATTATTCGTGTAATTAGTTTTTAATCAGATCATCCTGTCTGGTCTTTATCAGCATCAGAATATTAATCTTCTTCAGAATCACATTCATCTTGTAACACGTTTATGAATCCGAGTATAATTCACTGCAAATAAATAAATGCATATTTTAAGCATCTTTTGAACGTCTGATCTTTTTTTTGTTTGATTAAACAGGATGAATGTTTCTAGAGCAACACAAACCACCAAACGTCACAAAACATCCCAGAATTCATCAGATCCACCGAGGCTTACTGACGCTTGTGACGTTTTCCCTCCAGAATGATGTCACTTCCTGCAGGATGATGTCATTCAGGAAATGGCTTCTGTTGGTTCAAGGGGTTTTATAAAAGACTGACAGGATGGACTAAAATGATATTCACCAGAAAACACGTTTAGTCTGAAACATTCTGATTAAAATAGAAATTAAAGAAATACCTGGAATATTTTAAATGAATTTTTAAAGGCTTTTATTTTTATAATGGATATTTAAAAAATTATTATAATGGATTTTATTAGGCTTAACAGAGATGGATGAGTTTATATAAACCTGACAAAACTTTTTCATATGATATTATAGTTTTATTAATATATTAAATTCGTTTTTTTTTTTTTTATAGTTTTCATTTGTATTTTAATTTTAGAATTTTAATGTTTTTTTTTTATGTTTTTGCCATTTTTATTATTATTTTAAAATATGTCTGTATAAATATTGTAACTTTTATTTTGAATTTGGGAAATCAACTTAAACTAAATAAAATTGAGAAATGTTATTGAATTTTTTTTTTTGTAAATTTATATTTTAGTAAAATTATTTTTTACTTTTATATTTTCTATCTGAATTTTTTTTCTCATTTAGTTTTAATAGCATTGTTGTGGTTTTTGTCATTTGTATTATTTTAAATAAAATATTTCTATAAAAGTTCTTAATTTTTATTTCCGTTTTAGCTGCATATATTTAAGGAACTCAACTTTAAATGAAAATGAGAAATGTTGAACATTTTATCTCATCAAAACGCCATCACTGTAATGCAAAAATTATACATAATTATAAAAGGTTACATTAAATTACATTAAATTATATACATATAACCAAAATCTCATTATTTTAATGTAAACATTATACGTTATTTAAATTGAGCATGAGACATTTTTATTTCTCAATTATTTTTTGGCATCAAAAAACCTTTGTGTTAAAATATTAATGATTTAAAAATATATATATTAATCAAAGTATTTTCTCATTAGGAACACATCTTTGTCAGTGTATGTGTGCAATTAGTAACAGCCTTGAGTTCATATTTCTATAAATCACAGCAAGCGACTCGAGAGATAGTGAAACAAAACGCTGCGTTTAATGATTACAATCAAAAAAGTCCAACAACTGAATGAATGCTGCCAACTTTATTGGCCATAATTACGTTTAAGAAACACGATTTACAAACTCCAGAGGGTTCGGGGAACAGAGAGGAGGATGAGAGGTAGAGAAGAGCGAGACGCAGACGAGTGCGTGTGTGTTATTCAGGAAAAATATCACACAACTAAAAAAATTAAGTCAAATGAAGTATAAAAAAAGGTTTAAAAGAAAAAGCAGACATGTCTATGGAAACAGGCAGTTAGCCACTTCAAGTAGAGGGATTGGTGTCCCAGTGTCCAGTGCTGCAGGAGGGGCTGGAAACAGACTTTTCTAGCAAACATCTCAAGTTAAACGTCCTGAACCCTGTTCGAACCCATTAATCCTAGAACCAGACGGGGGCGGGGTTATCTACATCATGGAGCAGGATGTCCGGCCCTGAGGAGCGCCGCCGTCTATCTTCTCCGCCTCCAGGATTATCCTCTTGAACACCTCCACAGCCGTCTGCGAACACACAGCAAGCGACTCGAGAGATAGTGAAACAAAACGCTGCGTTTAATGATTACAATCAAAAAAGTCCAACAACTGAATGAATGCTGCCAACTTTATTGGCCATAATTACGTTTAAGAAACACGATTTACAAACTCCAGAGGGTTCGGGGAACAGAGAGGAGGATGAGAGGTAGAGAAGAGCGAGACACAGACGAGTGCGTGTGTGTTATTCAGGAAAAATATCACACAACTAAAAAAATTAAGTCAAATGAAGTATAAAAAAAGGTTTAAAAGAAAAAGCAGACATGTCTATGGAAACAGGCAGTTAGCCACTTCAAGTAGAGGGATTGGTGTCCCAGTGTCCAGTGCTGCAGGAGGGGCTGGAAACAGACTTTTCTAGCAAACACCTCAAGATCAATGTCTCGAACCCTGTTCAAATCCGTTAATCCTAGAACTAGACCAGAAAACACAAGCCAAGCCCAAACATGCTTGCTAGAAAAGTTTGCGCTGGTTCTCGGGTGGGCGG